TCAAAAATATGCACAGTTGTGATTGTTACTACCCTGTTATATAAATCCATGACTTGAAACAATGCACAAAGCAAGGTAGTGCTAAGAAGTTGGAGCTCATTAGCATAAAGTGCCCTCCTTCGTGGAGCATATTAGGCCGACCCAAACGAGAGGGATGATACTGCAGGTGACAAGAAAAGACATTAATGCCAGTACAAGATCTGATGCACTCTACATCTAAATGAAGCGCATACACATGCAGCGAGTGCTTTGATAAATCTTGTGCTACATTATTTCAAGTGTTCTGAAATGGGAATTGTGGTTCACTATGCATATACTATGATTTGTGAGGATGGTGATTTGGGCTAGTTGGCATGGTAGCATGACAATTGATGGTAGTGCAAACAAAGGACATCAACAAAAAAGCCACATTCAAGACATCACAGTGCTATGCGTTGTCTTAAATATGCCTTCTATTACTGATGTCTTTTGTCTGCAATGATGAGAAAACACTAACAATGAACAGGCTAGTGTATGAAAGATATAGCAATTGCAACGAGCAAGGTGCGTAAAACACAGGTTATTATTCCAGAAACGTTAGCCGCAACAAGCTGGTACAGGCAGGAACCCGGCAAGCACGAGCCACACACGGATGTCAACGTCTTCTTTCACGCTGGCACAGAGCTGGCGCCACTATGCTTCGGTACAATTACTCCCCGCGCAGGAAAGGGCCAACCTGGCGACCTAGGGAAAGGACACGACAAGGGGGTCATAGCACGGTTTGAGGCGTGATACGTGTACTGTTTCACGCCCACGGCAGCGTTGGTCCGAGGGTGGATCAATGGGCTCAACTTCATAGTTGACACGAGATGTTTGCTGCACCACACGGTAGGGGGCCATGGTATTTCGACGAAAGCTTCGGGGAAAGACGGGAGGGGTAGACGGGACCAGAGCCAAACCAGCATTCCTGGTTATAGTGTACAGTAGACGCAGAGGAATCGTGGTCAGTTTCTGGCGCCATTGGTCTTGTGCGGTAAATGAGCGAGCGAGTTGACGACACTCTTCGGCATAAGCAGCTGCTTCGGAAACAGGCGTCGCTTCGGAAACATCAGGCCTGTAAGGGAGAATGGTGTCCATGGAGCATGATTGCTCACGTCCGTACAGAAGGAAGAAAGGAGAAAAGCCAGTGGTGTTTGTGGCGCAGAGTTGTACGCGTACGTGACAAAAGGAGCACTTGGTCCCAATTAGTGTGGTCGTCAGAGGCGTACATGGCAAGCATATCTCCAAGGGTACGGTTTAAAGCGTTCTGTCATGCCATTGGTTTGCGGATGGTATGCCGAGGATTTCCTATGGACAGTGCGACATGCCTTGAGTAGCTCGTCGACGGCGTTCGAGAGAAAACACGCGTCCACGGTCACTGAGTAATTCACGAGGTGCACCGTGTCGCAAAATGAGATGGTAATTGTACCGAAGCATAGTGGCGCCAGCTCTGCCTCAGGAACTGCGACTGTCAGTTTTCCTCCTGGGCGTGGTTGGAACGGCGAAGCATGGGGGAAGGAGACCGAAGAACGGGGTGAAGGAGATCGACGGCTGCTGAAGTCTGGTCGCGTGAGCGGGGGTCATGCGAATCAGGTGTCACATGCGATTCTGATGGCCGAGGTATGTTGCCGGAATGCTGCAACATCATTAAAATAGAATCCACGGCGACGACAGTATCGCGCGACATGTCCTGGAATACCACAGTTGTAGGCAGATGGGCTGGTTATCCGGAGTACGCCAAGAGTTGGCAGGTGCTCGAGGTGGTGGAATGGGGCCGATTTTACCGGAGTAACTGAAACTGGTGACCTGTAGTAGTTGGTGGCTGGACTGTATGAAGGGAGCGGCGGTTGGGCAGAAGGTCGGCGGACGGCTTCTGCATAAGTCAGCGGTGCAGCCACTGATATTGGGGATGTGGGCGAAGGGAGAGCCTCGGCAACTTGCGTCTGAATAGCACGGCGAAGTGAGTGGTCCAGTGTTGTGGGGGTCTCGTTGATGGTGGCAACAAGAGAGAGCTGTCGAGCAACCTCCTCCCGGATGTACTGTTGAATTTGAGGCATTAACACGCTGTAGTCGGGGCCACTGCTTTTGCACTCCAAGGCCGAAATATCAGCTGTCTGCGTATTAGCGCGACGTGTAGAAACTCGTTGCTTGCACAGCTCATCGAAACTTTGACATAACTGAATCAAGGCCGTGACGGTCTGTGGGTCTTTGGCCACAAGCATATGAAAAGCGTCGTCCATCAATGCCTTTCATTATGTTCTTTATTCTGTCAGCCTCCGTCATCCTGTCATCAACTCGCCTACAGAGGCTGATCACATCCTCAATGTAGCTTGTGAAGCTCTCACCATTTCGCTGAAATCGTCCCCGCAGTCCCAGTTCAGCGCGAAGCTTACGCATGGCTGGACGACCGAAATACGAGGGTGACGGCCTCTTTGAAAACCGACCAGGTGGGGATGTCGGCTGGTGGTTGGTGAACCATAGGTGGCCAAATCCGTCAAGTAGAAGATGACGTGAATCAGCTTCGCAGGGTCATCCCACTTGTTAATCGCGCTGGCATGCTCGTACTCTGCCAGCCAAGTCCTCGACATCTTGATCTTCAGCGCCGTTGTATACTGGTGGGTCACGCAGACGAAGTACACCAGAACACATGACGGGTGGCAGCGTGGAAGAGCCTTGTGGGTGGATCGACGCGCTCGGTCATCGTGGACTGAGATGGTAGCTTACGGCTGCGGAGCTCCAGGACGTTACCCAGCACCTCCACCAAATGCAACGAGCAAGGTTGCGTAAAACACAGGTTATTATTCCAGAAAACGTTAGCCGCAACAAGCTGGTACAGGCAGGAACCCGGCAAGCACGAGCCACACACGGACGTCAACGTCTTCTTTCACGCTGGCACAGAGCTGGCGCCACTATGCTTCGGTACACAATGTATATAACAAGGCTGTTGTTTCCTTCTACTAACTGTTTAAAGCCAACACTGTATCAATTGTAAGAGTACAATAAAATGAGATTGTTTTTCGTTGACTGGAGCTCTTTCGAAAGTAAAAAAATAATCAAGAACTGCACATGAGAAACAGAGGTGGTTAAACACGAAGAAAAAAAAAATGCAGAAAGGAACTCGGGAAGGAAAATTAAGATTTCACACATTGTGGCAATCTATTTCATGCAAAGTAGTCCATAATGATGATGCCTATGATACAATATTTGGCATTGAGCCAAGTGTCATTGCATGAATGAATGTGTTTTGATAAATCTAGCAGTTTCGTGCTCATCAAGGACTTACCAAAAACGTTAACTACACAGGAGTTCAGAGGGTAACTTATGGTCTGACACATCGGCACTAATCTTACAGCACAGCTGCCAGTTTCATCACAACAAAGTGCATGCTATGGTACGACAATGTGAAGATTGTTCATTAGCATATTCCTACGTGGTCGAGCAACACTGAATGTAGCTTACCGAGTCATATGAAATGTTTATTATGACTTGCAAAAGTGGAGGCCACCCCGGAACCACAATTGGTGTTAACCCAACATGACAGCTGTATTTTAAGTACACATATGTCAAGTTTACTACCTTTAATCAGACTACAGTGCCGGCCCTACAGCCATAGTTAACATTACACTGATATGATGCCTGCATAGAACCTTTTTTCAAAAGCCGTCTCAAGACATGCCGTGGCTCTGTGGTAAAATACTTGACTGTGTGCAGAATACCGGATTTTGATTCCTGCTAGTAGCCCAATTGTCATTCTTTGTATTATTTGGTCAATGCTGCCAAAGCCAGATTTTATTTTAAATTGCTCAAATTTAACTTGCCAATATTTATAAACTGTCATCACGTGCAACGCAAACCACAGTGTACCGGCTTATGCTGCCTGTGACTGGAAAAAAGGGTTTCATGACGTACATAACAGGACACTCATTGTATACATGTCATAACCAGACAGTCATGTCGTCATATTGTCATTCCCCGCTGTGCCTTTTTCAGTTGTACCAAGTTAAGGAGGTTGAGCTCGATAACAGCCAGATGCAGGCCTCTAGATAGATATAAATGCTCAAAGTGCCTTTGTCTTTAAAGAAATGCTTTGCTTTTAAAAGGCTTTTAAAAGAAAAGCTGCTCAAGCATGCCACTGACTTACCCAAGGTGAGCAAAAGCAGTCAAACATCTGAGAGACTGGAAGATGCATTGAGTGAGTTACTAAAAGCACAGGTTTTGTATATGAAGAAATATCTGTTTGTGGCACACTGTTTTGCTTATTGTCAATGATATTTACTGTTTGAAGTGAATAAATATGCACCATATGTAAAAAATAGCCAGTTACAAATGAAAGTATTTATTTAATTACATCTGCTATTTTCATTAGTGTTAGCTTTCAGCACCTTTCTGCTCTATTTCTCCCAAGCCGCTCATAAAATCTTCAACATTGTTAGGGCATATCACTGGCACAAGATTATTGGTTCCATTGGGCACCCCGTGCTGGACCACCATTATCTAGGCCTTCCTACTCTAAAAGTGGTGGTGTGTGTGTATGCCTTCTGTGTGTCTTCATTTTTAGTGCGCTATTACCATTCCACCTGGGTGTACTCCTAGTCAGCAAAATTAATGCATAAGTATGAAGCATCAGAGGCAATAGAAAACAGCCACGATACGGTGTGGCACTTAAGGCAAACAAGCTGGCATATTGTTTCCTTTAAGCTGCCAAAACTGTTTATATTAGGACGCTCATTGCTGAAACCCGCTTGCTAAAACCAATGTGTGTATTTCGCAACACCGCGCGATCTTTAAAAGTCTGAGTAAGAAGGAACATAGAAGGATGTGCTGCATATCGTGAAGCAAATGGCTCAGCTTTGTTGACATACTTTTGGAAGTTTTATTGAAAGTGATGTTATTTGAATATTATAGGATAAATATTTTTGCTTAATCTTCTGATACAGATGCTGAATAATTGCCTTCATAGCTACAGATCGCTTAAACTTTAAAGCTTTCGTTGGAAGGAGTTTCAGTTCATGCAGTTTGCACTTTAATGCATACATGCAGTAATACACTTTTAGTACAAAACTTCCTGGGGTACAAATTGTTTTTAAAAAAGAATACTTTGCGCACCTACCATCCTTAATTCACTGGGACAGTCGTTCTGTCAGATAGACTCATGGCGAGGAGAATGTCGACCATCCTGTGAAGGATCCTTTGAACAGAGCTCTTCAAGCGGCTTGCCGCCTCTCTCGCGCTTGTTTTATTGGCTTCACACCAGCGCATACATAAGAAAAGTTCATTCCTAGAGAAGAAAAGAACGCTGGCCTGGATTATGACGCCGGGCGTTTACTTAAAAAAAAAAAGTTCACAGCAAGAGAGCACAAGCGCGTTACGCAAACGTAGCTTGAACTCACCAGATAAATGCGAGTTTCTGCAGATCGCGCGGGCACTCGCATGCGGTTGCTTGTAGTTGACGAGCACGTACGCGAAACCCAAGCGCTCACGACAAGGCAGAAGTTTGCGTGCAGAAGGCGCCCACAACACAGTATTTCTTTTTCATTTTCCTTTTTCCTACAATACTTCCACTTCGTGATGTGCGGTACCTCGTCGTTCCTCGATGGCGTCCAAACGCGCTTAGACATCTCGACGGACGGGCAGGGCAGATCATAAGCCCTAATGTTCGGTGGTACAGTACCTTAGTAGCATCACAGTCAAACTAAACTTGCAACTCTTTCCGAGCTGCTCCTACCAGAAACAAAGGTGCACGGAGCGTCGTGTTTTCCCATATTGGCTTCCTTGAAGTGGCGACAACGCGCAGGCGCCGAACCGCACGTAAAAATGCGCAGTCGGCGCGCACCACAGAGGAAGTTCCTCCGTGGCGCGCACTGAGTTGTTTTTTCCTCCATGTTTGGCCGGCGTGTTTCGCGGGCGCAACAGGGCGACGGCGCAACCTGGAAACGAGAGTACGGCGCGGAGGCCGTTGCTAGGCGCACGTCGTGGCGGCGTCCCTGCGAGAGTGTGACCAATAGCGCGCCGCTGCGGTTGCCATGCGTTGAACCTACTGCAGATTACAAATGCGCCACCCGGTGATGGTGTGGCGCTTTTTTTTCTTTGTGCTGATAGCTTTGAAGATATGATCTTATGGTGGTGAGAGTGGAGCAGGACTGTCTCCGTGGCGCAATTGGCTAGCGCGATCGGCTGTAAACCGAAAGGTTGGAGTTTCGAGCTCTCCCGGGAGTGGTGTGTTGCTTTTTTCTTTGCACTGACAGCTTTGAAGATATGTTCTGATGGTGGTGAGAGTGGAGCAGGACTGTCTCCGTGGCGCAATTGGCTAGCGTGAATGGCTCTTAACCGAAAGGTTGGAGGTTCGAGCCCACCCGGTGGTGGTGCGGCGCTTTTTTTTCTTTGCGCTAGTAGCTTTGAAGATATGTCCTGATGGTGTTGAGAGTGGAGCAAGACTGTCTCCGTGGCGCAATGGGCTAGCGCGATCGGCTGTTACCCGAAAGGTTGGAGTTTCGAGCCCTCCCTGGAGTGGTGTGTTGCTTTTTTCTTTGTCGTAATAGCTTTGAAGATATGTTCTGATGGTGGCGAGAGTGGAGCAGGACTGTCTCCGTGGCACAATCGGCTAGCGCGATCGGCTGTTAACCGAAAGGTTGGAGGTTCGAGCCCACCCGGTGGTGGTGTGCCGCTTTTTTTCTGTGGGCTGATAGCTTGGAAGATATGTTCTGATGGTGGTGAGAGTGGAGCAGGACTGTCTCCGTGGCGCAATTGGCTAGCGCGATCGGCTGTAAATCGAAAGGTTGGAGTTTCGAGCTCTCCCGGGAGCGGTGTGTTGCTTTTTTCTTTGCACTGACAGCTTTGAAGACATGTTCTGATGGTGGTGAGAGTAGAGCAGGACTGTCTCCGTGGCGCAATGGGCTAGGGCGATCGGCTGTTAACCGAAGGTTGGAGCTTCGAGCCCACCCGGTGGTGGTGCGGCGCTTTTTTTTCTTTGGGCTGATAGCTCTGAAGAAATGTTCTGACGGTGGTGAGAGTTGAGCAGGACTGTCTCCGTGGCGCAATTGGCTAGCGCGATCGGCTGTTAACCGAAAGGTTGGAGGTTCGAGCCCACCCGGTGGTGGTGCGGCGCTTTTTTTTTTCTTTGGGGCGATAGCTCTGAAGAAATGGTCTGACGGTGGTGAGAGTGGAGCACGATTGTCTCGGTGGCGCAGTTGGCTAGCGCGATCGGCTGTTAACCGAAAGGTTGGAGGTTCGAGCCCACCCGGTGATGGTGTGGCGCTTTTTTTTCTTTGTGCTGATAGCTTTGAAGATATGTTCTGATGGTGGTGAGAGTGGAGCAGGACTGTCTCCGTGGCACAATCGGCTAGCACGATTGGCTGTTAACCGAAAGGTTGGAGGTTCGAGCCCACCCGGTGGTGGTGCGGTGCTTTTTTTCTTTGGGCTGATAGCTTTGAAGATATGTTCTGAAGGTGGTGAGAGTGGAGCAGGACTGTCTCCGTGGCGCAATTGGCTTGCGCGATCGGCTGTTAACCGAAAAGTTGGAGGTTCGAGCCCACCCGGTGGTGGTGCGGCGCTTTTTTTTCTTTGGGCTCAGAGCTTTGAAGATATGTTCTGATGGTGGTGAGAGTAGAGCAGGACTGTCTCCGTGGCGCAATTGGCTAGCGCGATCGGCTGTTAACCGAAAGGTTGGAGTTTCGAGCCCTCCCGGGAGTGGTGTGTTGCTTTTTTCTTTGCGCTGATAGCTTTGAAGATATGTTCTGATGGTGGTGAGAGTGGAGCACGACTGTCTCCGTGGCGCAGTTGGCTAGCGCGATCGGCTGTTAACCGAAAGGTTGGAGGTTCGAGCCCACCCGGTGATGGTGTGGCGCTTTTTTTTCTTTGTGCTGATAGGTTTGAAGATATGTTCTGATGGTGGTGAGAGTGGAGCAGGACTGTCTCCGTGGCGCAATTGGCTAGCGCGATTGGCTGTTAACCGAAAGGTTGGAGGTTCGAGCCCACCCGGTGGTGGTGCGGTGCTTTTTTTTCTTGGGCTGATAGCTTTGAAGATATGTTCTGAAGGTGGTGAGAGTGGAGCAGGACTGTCTCCGTGGCGATATTGGCTTGCGCGATCGGCTGTTAACCGAAAGGTTGGAGGTTCGAGCCCACCCCGTGGTGGTGCGGCGTTTTTTTTCTTTGCGCTGATAGCTTTGAAGATATGTTCTGATGGTGGTGAGAGTGGAGCAAGACTGTCCCCGTGGCGCAATGGGCTAGCGCGATCGGCTGTAAACCGAGAGGCTGGAGTTTCGAGCCCACCCGGTGGTGGTGCGGCGCTTTTTTTCTTTGGGCTGATAGCTCTGAAGAAATGTTCTGACGGTGGTGAGAGTTGAGCAGGACTGTCTCCGTGGCGCAATTGGCTAGCGCGATCGGCTGGTAACCGAAAGGTTGGAGGTTCGAGCCCACCCGGTGGTGGTGCGGCGGCAGCGCTTTTTTTTTCTTTGGGGCAATAGCTCTGAAAAAATGGTCTGACGGTGGTGAGAGTGGAGCACGATTGTCTCCGTGGCGCAGTTGGCTAGCGCGATCGGCTGTTAACCGAAAGGTTGGAGGTTCGAGCCCACCCGGTGATGGTGTGTTGCTTTTTTCTTTGTGGTAATAGCTTTGAAGATATGTTCTGATGGTGGTGAGAGTGGAGCAGGACTGTCTCCATGGCGCGATTGGCTAGCGCTATCGGCTCTTAACCGAAAGGTTGGAGTTTCGAGCCCACCCGGTGGTGGTGCGGCGGTTTTTTTTCTTTTGGCTGATAGCTCTGAAGAAATGTTCTGATGGTGGTGAGAGTGGAACAGGACTGTCTCCGTGGCGCAATTGGCTAGCGCGATCGGCTGTTAACCGAAAGGTTGGAGGTTCGAGCCCACCCGGTGGTGGTGCGGCGCTTTTTTTTTCTTTGGGGCGATAGCTCTGAAGAAATGGTCTGACGGTGGTGAGAATGGAGCACGATTGTCTCCGTGGCGCAATGGGCTAGCGCGATCGGCTGTTAACCGAAAGGTTGGAGTTTCGAGCCCTCCCGGGAGTGGTGTGTTGCTTTTTTCTTTGTGGTAATAGCTTTGGAGATATGTTCTGATGGTGGTGAGAGTGGAGCAGGGCTGTCTCCGTGGCGCAATTGGCTTGCGCCATCGGCTGCTAACCGAAAGGTTGGAGGTTCGAGCCCACCCGGTGGTGGTGCGGCGCTTTTTTTTTCTTTGGGGTGATAGCTATGAAGAAATGATCTGACGGTGGTGAGAGTGGAGCACCACTGTTCCGTGGCGCAAAGGGCTAGCGCGATCGGCTGTTAACCGAAAGGTTGGAGGTTCGAGCCCAACCGGTGGTGGTGCGGCGCTTTCTTTTCTTTGGGCTGATAGCTTTGAAAATATGTTTTGATGGTGGTGAGAGTGTAGCAAGACTGTCCCCGTGGCGCATTGGGCTAGCGCGATCGGCTGTTAACCGAAAGGTTGGAGGTTCGAGCCCACCCGGTGGTGGTGCGGCGCTTTTTTTTCGTTGCGCTGATAGCTTTGAAGATATGTTCTGATGGTGGTGAGATTGCAGCAAGACTGTCCCCGTGGCGCATTGGGCTAGCGCGATCGGCTGTAAACCGAAAGGTTGGAGTTTCGAGCCCTCCCGGGAGTGGTGTGTTGCTTTTTTCTTTGCACTGACAGCTTTGAAGATATGTTCTGATGGTGGTGAGAGTGGAGCAGGACTGTCTCCGTGGCGCAATTGGCTAGCGCGATCGGCTGTTAACCGAAAGGTTGGAGGTTCGAGCCCACCAGGTGGTGGTGCGGCGCTTTTTTTTCTTTGCGCTAATAGCTTTGAAGATATGTCCTGATGGTGTTTAGAGTGGAGCAAGACTGTCTCCGTGGCGCAATGGGCTAGCGCGATCGGCTGTTTACCGAAAGGTTGGAGTTTCGAGCCCTCCCGGGAGTGGTGTGTTGCTTTTTTCTTTGCGGTAATAGCTTTGAAGATATGTTCTGATGGTGGTGAGAGTAGAGCAGGACTGTCTCCGTGGCGCAATTGGCTAGCGCGATCGGCTGTTAACCGAAAGGTTGGAGTTTCGAGCCCTCCCGGGAGTGGTGTGTTGCTTTTTTCTTTGCACTGATAGCTTTGAAGATATGGTCTGAGGGTGGAGAGAGTAGAGCACGACTGTCTCTGTGGCGCAGTTGACTAGCGCGATCGGCTGTTAAACGAAAGGTTGCAGGTTCGAGCCCACGCGGTGATGGTGTAGCGCTTTTTTTCTTTGTGCTGATAGCTTTGAAGATATGTTCTGATGGTGTTGAGAGTGGAGGAAGACTGTCTCCGTGGCGCAATGGGCTAGCGCGATCGGCTGTTTACCAAAAGGTTGGAGTTTCGAGCCCTCCCGGGAGTGGTGTGTTGCTTTTTTCTTTACGCTGATAGCTTTGAAGATATGTTCTGATGGTGGTGAGAGTGGAGCAGGACTGTCTCCGTGGCGCAATTGGCTAGCGTGATCGGCTGTTAACCGAAAGGTTGGAGGTTCCAGCCCACCCGGTGGTGGTGCGGCGCTTTTTTTTCTTTGCGCTGATAGCTTTAAAGATATGTTCTGATGGTGTTTAGAGTGGAGCAAGACTGTCTCCGTGGCGCAATGGGCTAGCGCGATCGGCTGTTTACCGAAAGGTTGGAGTTTCGAGCCCTCCCGGGAGTGGTGTGTTGCTTTTTTCTTTGCGGTAATAGCTTTGAAGATATGTTCTGATGGTGGTGAGAGTAGAGAAGGCCTGTCTCTGTGGCGCAATTGGCTATCGTGATCGGCTTTTAATCGAAAGGTTGGAGGTTCGAGCCCACCCGTTGGTGGTGCGGCGCTTTTTTTT